AGTAAAAAACCTTGTCGAAAACCGTTCTAGTTACCCGTACGATACTGAATTCTAACAATTTCGGACTGCTTACCAGACACAGAATAGAATAGAAAAGTAATTTTCAACATTGAGTTAGTAGATTTGTAAAGAGAACCCTGATGATGGGGACAGAGATAGTTCCAGAAACGTCGGTTTCGTCTTTTAACCTTTTCACGCTGCTGATAGCCAGAGAACATTTTATTGAGTTACGTCGCCTCGAAAACTTCAAATCGTATACTGTGGCTTATTTATTCAATGATAACCTTCGGATGGAAATCTGTGGAAAGCCACAAAAATTATCGATTTTGATAGCCGTACTCCAGGCCGAAAATTCGATTCATGGGTGCCAAGCATTTCGCCGTGAGGTGCGTTGTAATAAAGTAGCTCATGCCACTGTAATTACTCATGTATGCGATGATGTTTAATATTCGTCCGGTCACAGTTAATTGACCCACCTGATGGCGGGAAAGCACAGAAAATTTATCAGTATTTAAACAATTTGCAAACTATTGTTAGTACTTGAATTATCTGCACCATTAGACTGAGGTGCACCGTGGCACACTCATGAGGAACTTTGTGAGCAAATTTGATTAAAAGTAAGCGACGAACTTATAACAAACGTAATATATTCAATAGGAAACATGTCACAAACAAGTGTTGTAACGTTTTTAATACCCGCAAGCGACAGCACATTAGTAACACCTTAGACTTTGTGATTTAATACACCATGCATTAATTAATCAGTCTGGAACTCATTTCTTTCCCAAATAAACACAATGACTCTTTAAAACAATTTATGATAATTAAGTTTTGGATAATTCCTTCCATTTTACGCTTGTGATGAACTATGAAATATTTATAAAGGCTTATAAAATTAACAGAACCGGACTAGCTTTGGTATTGAAACTTGTATTTTTCGTGAAAATTCTAATAATTTTTTCTTGTTTCGTAATTAAAGACTCTATACCCTCACATAGATCTGATAATATAATTATGATTTATTATGCCCTTAAAGGGACCTGATTTTTATGTTAAGTATACTGGATTAAAAAATACTTATGTGTGAAAAGATTTAAACTATTTTACTTGATGCTTAAAACAAACACAATTTACATTTGTACTCCAAAGATTCGCTATAAAATTTGAAACGAAATTGCTTTAAAAGTCCCGGTAATATTATTCTATTTATTAAATTATATAGCTTTGATGATTAATACGCAATGGAGATTCTGTAGTGCCTCAATAAAGTGTCAGCTATCAGATAATAAATGCAAAATGTTTGGAGGCATTCTGTTGGGTGGGATATTCTAGACCGCTGTAATAAAGTGTTAGAAGACATTGTCGTGACATTTCCTTCTAGAGGGTGATAATAATTATGAACTTCGGATACGATAGCTACACTCAACTGCAATATTAGAATCAGTGCCCAATTCCTTCTTTCTCAGTTAGGATGTGAAACCCGTTCTGGTGTCTTAACTGTGAGTGCTGATCATGATTAAGATTACGGTGTTATAGGTTTAGTCAGTATTCTTTCAGCATTCTGCGTCCTTCTGCTTGATTTTGGATGGAATTTTATAATTTCTGAATCTTTTTATAGGCCCGACTTCTTTGGGTTTAATTTTACTTGTTCCAGTCAATTTTAAATCCCCTAACTGTTATGATCTTTTGAGGATATTAAATTCTGTGTAATGCAATACCACACACATCCTGAAGAGTTTGTGATTGCGGGTGACCTTTTAAACAGTAATTATGTTACACGTTGTTCATTAATTGAGATGTAACCAATATAAACTACGTTTAGGGGACTGACCACACTCGCGCTCTCAGGCACCAAGTTTTAATTTGTACCGAATTATATTTTTATTTGATATTTTCTGTATCAGTGGCAACAGTCAGACCCAAAGTCCACAAAATTCAGATCTTATATAGCCTGCTAACCATTCGACCACTCAGGATTCTATACGAGTCCTTTAATCACTAGATTGCCCTGGATATTTGATGGGTTCCGCTGTAGATCCCGTCTGCTGCTTATTAACATCGAAAATAAAAAAGTCTCTTAAATTACTGACCTAAAAATGATAATGAAACAACTCCCAAAACGTCGTGAATATAAATATGCCCCACAAAATTTCAATTTTGCAGCGTAATTACAGCTATAGACCAGTTAGTTGTAAGTTTGAAATTTAGAATGCATATTTCCCTGTAAGCAAATCAGTTACTAAAAAGGAAAATTACGTCCCTTGACATAGGATAGAAATAAATTATTTGTATATAAAATGCTTTGAAATGCATGCAGTCTTTGCCACCCTCTTCAGATCCGTATATGCTAAGCATACTGTACGCTGCAGGGTGTTATATTTCTTGAAAGCTGTAGATCACTGTGTAATGGTACATGCTGCCATTTGCTTAACATGAGAGCCTCAGACTGCACCTGCCCATCTCCTTTCACAGTCACTGTGTTCCTAGATAAATGGAAAATGTCTGTGAACAAAGTATGCAGTTACTGTGTGTAACATTTTACCTAGATAATTGAATACTTTCGTGAAATCTTCTTTACTAACTTGAATCGTATCTCGTGTCTCCTTTCAATACACCATTTATAGGCCAAAGACATTCTCACTTTTCTCGTCGATATAATCACCTAATAAGATTCTAGGGAACTTGTCCAGGAAACAGATATGTCATTTACTGTAATCATGCTAAAAAGTTACCTGTATCATTCCGTTTCAGAACATCAGCATCTTAGCGAAAACACTTATACAGAAATCCGACATCTGAAGTTATTTAGCAGAAATGTTGAACACTTAGTATGATTAAACTGTGTTCTGATGTATTAACCGTTTGCCATTTTATAATGGTCTACGAGAATTTAGAATTAACTAGAGATCGTTTAATTAAACCATTTTCATACGCTGTCTTAAATCCTCACGGACAATATGTTTAAGTAATTGTCGTAGACACACGAAGATCAGTATTAAATGCGAATTTCCCGTTACATTTGTACACAGGCGAGAAAACAGTGTCAGTTTCAATTAAACCAGGCTTAAATTGCAGCAGTTATAAAACACATGATGAGAAAACTGGAACTTTTATGCCTGTTACATCAGCTTTGCAAACTGTACAATTGAATATGAAAGCTGGTTCTTGCACGTACGGAACTGCAGTTTTGAAAGTACGAGTTACTCTCACTTTGTGTCACTCTGAATCTGATAACGTAATTTTGAACCATCTGTCCAAGTGATTCCTGCTACACTTTTATCTACCATACCACTGTCCAAAATATGACAGGATGTATTTAACTTCCGCTGTTTAAATGAATGCTTAAGGCACCTGTCAGTTTCCTCTCCTTGAGCGTATGCCAGAAGGGTTCAGTCTAAAAGCTATTCTGTAGCCCTAAGATCTGGAAATTTCGGACAATCTGTATAAAACTATGTATGACTGTTGAAAATATGAGGTACACTTAAACACGTTCGTAAAGATGTGGCCTTAATGTGTACATATATGTTGTATTTATTGTTCATTTGATCAGGTTAAATTAATTTAAACGTAAGTGATGTCATCTATCTCCGATATTTCACGTGTGGTTGTAAACGGGGTATGGTTTACGTAAGTTGCATTGGATTTGTTTGTAACGTGAAGAGGTGAGATGGATAAATGTCGGTATTTTTCCACTTTATATTTAAGTAATGAATTTCACATTCATATATTGTTTGTTCATCCTTTACCTAAAGAGCAGGCTTGACTGTTGGAACATTAAAAATATTACACTGTACATAAATAATTTCTTAATAATGTATATTTATTTACATTATGCCGAATATGTAGTAGTGTTCTTCACTATTTTCCAATTGTACGATATTTGTCCCGAAGTAGGAAATTGAGAAAAATGAAGGTGTTCAAACACAGCTATCACTTATCGCATGCCATGGAAATAGTTTGGCAGCTAATGGTAATCATTCGAACGGTTTTCAGTCAGATAATTATGTCTTCTAAAAATAATGTCGGCAGTTTGCTCAATAACTAGGAGCCATCAGAGCGCTATAACACGAATCTAACAGAGGCACTTGTTAATAGCTGTAATGTACATCGTTACATTTCAGATCATTCTGTGTGCTATACAGTCTTTGAGAGAGCTAGATCGGCAGTGCTCTGTGTCGAGTGACGCGTATACGCGTTTGTCACATTTGAAGTAAATGACAAGTTTATTAAATACATAAGTAATATAAGAACCTGTGTTAATGACAAGATTATACACAGTCTATTACGGCGTCGTAAGACTGGAGTAATGGCTCTAAGAATGTTTATTATGTTTTGCTGCAGATCATAAAGACGCTGTCTTTGCATATAACATTTCAGATTTTGTAACAAATGTAGTTTACTGTTTTATTAATAGAACTCGAGTTTTTGTTTCTTCTAGAAAACCTTACTATCAACATAACGTGAAATACCAATCTAGTACTAATGAGTAACATAGCTCTTCAGTTTGTGAAATGTTGGAGAGTTCAGATAAATCTATTCTGAATTTACTTTAAGCTATGTTAAGTATGGAGGACGCAATATAACACAAATATTTTGAGCTTTATAAAACTTATTAATTTGCCTGTGTAATGAAATATAAGTCAGCTGTTACTGCACGTGGAACATACCTAACCGTTAGAAATTGAAATCCTTTCTAACAATCTGTGTGTTACATTAAATTACAGAAATATTTGGTAATACAGCATTTAGTTGTGTGTGATACGTTATAAATTTCTGACTGCCACTTTATATAAAATCAATACGTAGGCTCAGTTTCTTTAAAAATCTCTATTCTGTCCTTAAGATCAGTTATAGATAAAAGATGGCTCTGTTTTATGCTACAGAAACATAGATGACGGTCTACCATATATGAACATTAAAAAACCTTGGTTGGGATTATGTCTGTACTATATTACGTGAGCCTTCTGGTCTAACATGCCCATTTTTGATGCTTATTACAGTGAGCAGCGTAGGTGTGGATGCTGTGCTGGGTCGGAGTGTGACGCTGCCATGTGACATCGAACCTACGACCCGTGAGGATCGAGTATATATGGTGCTGTGGTTCAGAGATAATGCTGGCAAACCTCTGTACAGGTAGGGGAGCATCAGTGCATTACCTATGTTAATGATAAGGAACTGATCTTGTTCTGAGAGCATATTAAACGTCGATGTGTAGTTTATTATTACTGCAATTTGCTGGGGGAATACTAATTGCCTTACTCAGCTGTTTGTGTAAGACTTAGAGAAAATTCCTGCTCACAAGATGAGGACACAAAATGGCCTTCCAGCTGCCACTGTTGTATGAGCGGGTCTTTCTTCCAGTACTTGAGATTATTTTGACTGAAGAATCAATGGTATCCATACCAACACGATTGAAACTCCAATGTGTGTAATTTTTAATTTGTATTTTACTAAATAATTTTAGAACCTTTAAAAAGATACTGTAGTATGATATTATTATTATGTAACCTAGCAGATTTAATTTGTTTAATAATGTCCGTTCCCGCACACGTCAGAATTTACATGAACATTTTCCTTGTTCATTCAATAAGTGTAAATAGCTTTAAATAACATACAAATTGTGGCCTTTAATTTTCTCTGTTTTTGTTTCTTGTGAATCTCAGCTTAAGCAGGGTTTTATTCAGAGGACAAACGATTTCTCGAAGAGTCTTTCTCTGTCTTAAATCTACTCCTGCTTTACCGAGCGCTAAATAAATATGTATAATGTGGGCAATAAAGACTATTGCCCGTGTCATTTTCTTGGCATTTGTACTGCATTATAATGATTTTAACTCGGATAGTTATGGCTTGATTTGTGGAAGGGGACAGCAAAGCAGTTATCTGTCAGGGGATATTCTGCGCCATGGAGTACGAATATTATTAGCCGGAGCATGTGAAGAGCATGCAATAATAACCTTCTCACGTCCTGGCACCACCTTCATTAGACTGGAAGTTAAATGACGCTGTAATAACCCCATTTGCACTGTTTAAATACTACAGGCGTATTTAAACACACCACAGCATCGGTACTGTACGTTTACCATAAGCTTTAGATCTTACAATATTGTATTAATTATATCGTCACCACTGTGGAAGAAGAAATCGTAAAGTTACTAAGTAAATTTCTCAAAATTGTGGGGAATGTATATATTGAGGACAGGTAAAAGATCAAAATGGCATCCATTTCTGAATTTTTAGCCTTTCTGTCCCCCATTTAAAAACATAAATGTTAAATATATACAACACTAATTTGGGAGTGAATCTTGGCCTCTCAATCTGATCGGAAAACATAGATTGAAGGTCTGTGAGAAGAACATGGTATGCTGAGTGGAACGTATCAACTTAGAAGGGAGGAAGTTAAAGGAGACTGGAGAAAAATGTACCTGTAATGAGATGTCTCATGCTTTGTACGTTATTATACAACAAGCGTCAGTTTGATCGAGTCAAGAAGGATTATATTGGCTTGTAATTTAGAGCATAAGTGAGATGAGAAATATATACAAAATTTTTATCCGAACGTCTGACTGTAAGACATAACTTTGGAACTCAAGGCGTTGATGGGAGGATAATATTAAAGTAAATATTAAAGGATTATATTGTGACGATGTCTCAGGACAGTCACAAGTGGCGCGTCCTTGTAAATACGGCAATGAACCTTCGGCTTCCTTTAAATCCCGGCTGTTGTTTGATAGCTGAGCGACTATTAATTCTCTAAAAGGATTCTATACCATAAGGAATCGAGGGCAAGACTTAGTAGGTGTTTTAAATAGTAAGTAAAGTAAAGCTGTCCCACTATACGCCATGTAGGCGCTTAGGGGGAGAGATGGTATAGCTTCTACTTATTCTTGACCTCGGCACTAGATGGGAGTGAGTGGTCAGCATTACGCCCCGGCCGCGCTATACCCCTGGCAAAGGACCCCGGTACCCATCGGATAAGAGGCTTGGTGGGCCCCAAAACCGGTCTGCACGCAGAAGCTAGAGAAAAAAATTCTCTGCCGCTGTCGGAGATCGAAACCTGATCGTCCAGGTCATTTTAAGTAGTATGAAGTCAGAAATAGCCATACAGTACTTACTAGCCTTCTTATGGATAAGTGCGTTACTGTTGCTGTCCTTACGCGGTTTGCGCGTGTATTCCGCTTATTGTGATTAAAAATGTAAATGCACGAACGGCTTCCGATTAAATTACTGGGAGCATCTATGACTTTGATAAGTAACATACAGTTCAGACACACACTCTGCTGTTACATTTGAATAATGCGCAAGAGGAATTCGCTTTACAATCCCCTTCACACCCCTACAGTTTAATTCAACAAGTTGTTCAGTGTGGAAACAAGCGTTACCATCTACTCAGAATTTGCTGGCAGTCTTTCAAACATAAAACCCCTCTTTGTACAGGAAAATGAAGAGCTCGGGTCATTTATACAAGTATTATGGGCCATGCATTTAAAAGCAGTTCATCGTTGAATGGCATTATGAGGAATCAATTAACATTTGCATTTATACTTCTTCCCCCAGAAATCGAAACACTTCACACAGACAGATTATGTAAAATAAGTCTTCTAAAATATTTAAGAGCAGACTGTTATCGTTTAATGTAGAGTTCTTGTTCCTCAAGGGGTGGGAACTAAAGAATTTTGGGCCGAAATAAGACAATAACGGCTATCGAACTGTTTATTAAGAAAAAGTCATGAAGCTATTAAACTAATATCATCTTGAACCTAATTTGCGTTTCTCACATAACTTTCCAGATATTTTTGTTCTCAAACCCCTTCAAATAATTTGTTACTTAGAATATAATTACTAGTTATTATGATTGTTTCTTCCTTATTTTGTTTCCTTGTCATGTTTATATATTTATATTGATCTATATTGACATCTGGACGAAGTTGCAGGGTTTCTGCGTTATTCCATATGCTACTTACAGTCTCCCGTAATTAATTAAATGCATTGGCTTAATCAAATTCCTGATTTTTCTGTCAGTTCGTAATGCACATAATTATGGGGTGAAGAGGCATTCATCGTATTCTAGGTGGAAAGTCTGAGAATAGATATAAAATATTTCGATCCGAAGTTGTAGGAACGAATTAAATGCCCAATACACTTCTGCGGAATCTTATGGATCGTGAGATAAGTAAACAAAAGGAATTACTCTGCTGTATCATGTAATAACTCAAATACGGTTGGACTAATTTTTGTCAGATTTCATATAGTAGGTGTTTGCCAGCAAGGTTTATACATTTATAAATGTCAAATATCAGCTTTCACGACATGAAAATCTAGAGGCAATAATAGAAGAACGTTCGATAATTGTTACGTTATGCGTGCATTTACTAACTTGCTGTAGTTCATTTTATCTAGAATATGTGCCAAAATAATTACACGTAAAACTCGTGCGTAGATACCGATGCAGGGATTATATGTTGTTATGAAATTCATTTACATTTTATCAAACCCTCTGAAACTCCTGCATCGGTATCTGCAGATGAAAGGTACCTGTATCGAGACATAATACATACTCTTCGTTTTCATGGTTTCTTTGCTTAAGGAAAAAAACAACCTGTCGATATTAACGTTATCCTTTCTTTGTTCGCTCTGTTCTGTTGTTTGCGTCGATTTTGTATTACACAAATGACGTTGTTTTGGTTCCCCGGAAGAGACAGCTGGATTGAAGGTTCTGTTTTTCAGAAACGTTCGGCTCTATGTCCGCTCTGAATGAGCAGATTATGAAGTAAAGTGGTATGGGAGAGGGCCTCTCATTGCTTACGAATGGTTGTGGGTAGAGTTAAAGGTTGGTTGGAATGTTATGGTGTAGGTACGTCATGAAGGAAAGAAAGAGGACAATTTCGTTATGACGTTTTCTACTGCTTTGAGTGTATCACGGTATTATGTGGAATAGAAAGAGAACCAGATGAGGGTGTTTTGGGGATGAAAGGATGTTTTGAACGATAGAAAAATAGCTGATAGGATGGGGATGAAAAGGAAGGGGTGGTGATAATCAAGAGAGGGTGTCAGAAATGGATGGGGCGGGTTGAAAATATAGAAGAAAAAGGGTCAACAGAAGTGCAGTGGAGAACGGAAAAGGACGACAAAGACTTGAGGACAGAGATGAAAGTAGTGGAACGAAGGGTACATGAAATGATGGGAGAGACGAGGCAACCAAAGAAAATATGTGGAGTGTAAAAGAGGAAATAAAAAAGAAGATTTAATGAAAAAGATTTACCGACAAAAGGCTCATAGAATCAACTTCCGTGATACTGAAAAAAATGGACTTCATCTCTGATGTTTCACATCCCGTGAGCCGGGTTCAAGGGTCATACAGAAACAGTTGCTAGCGATCTCTTATTGCCCGTAGTTTTCCTCCTCGTCAGTTCCATCTGTACAGAGTTGGTAAAAGCTATTAAAATACTTTCCTGTCTTTTGGCGATGATAACTGAATAACTCCATGGAGAAGAGTTCTTATAGGATTTGAAACTTTCGCGGCGAGTACAATCAATAAAATCTTCCCGGGAATCAGCCCCGTTAACTGGTTACCGTAGTAAACCGATGTTTCGGGAACGAATTCTGTCCTCATCTTCAAGGTACTGATGTGATCGGATCCTCGGAAGTCGCCTGTGCAACTTCCGTGCCTTTTGTAGAATCATAAGCCCCATTAATGTTTGTAAGAGACCGCAACCAATCAGTCACCTGAGTCACATCAGTCGATACATTCCAACTTCATTCCTTTTCGAGTTATTTTAATATTATCCTCCCTGCTAAGCCTAGATTTTCAAAGCTATCTGTTCCCTTCAATCACTCCAACAAACATTGTGTATCTCTCGCATATGTACCACATGTTCCGCCCATCTCATCTTCTTTAATATGGTCACACTAATAACGTTTGGCGAACGGTACAAAATGGGAAGCTGCTCGTCACACCCTTACCTCCACCCTCCTGCATATTTTTTCCTCTTATGCACGTATGTTTTCCTTATAATTATGTTCTCCAACATGCTCAATCAGCATATACCTATCGTTTCATGTACAACAGTAATCTGTAAACTGTTGTGACTTCAGTATAACAATACAAATGAATTATCTTTTTTAATGTTTCTTTA